AGAGTTGAAGACTTTTGAATTGCTATTATGAAAGATAAATTTATGGATTATTATTTTCAATAATTTTTTTTTAAAAAATATTTATTATTTTTAACCACAATTTATGAATATATATTATTAAATGTAATATAAAATAATATCAAATAAAAAATATAAAACTAAACTAAATTATCCACTATTTATTTATTGTGATTTTTGATTCTTTTATCAACTATTCTCTTAAATTCGATAGCTTATTCTTTTTATCTTTTGTCTATGATTTTTTATGTTATCAGATATTTTGATATCATAAAAATTTTTATCTTTTTGAATATTTATCAAAGCTTAATCTATTAATTTCAGAGTATTATTTTTATATAATTTATAATTTCTTTGGCTTACTTTATCACTTCTATTCCTTAAATTGCATTTATGATTATTGAGACTATTACAATTAATATGATCAGCTATTTTTTATTCAGGATATAATAATTGATAAGATTTTTTAACACAAGTATTTGTTGTATAATAATTATTATTATTCTTATTTTTATATATTTTCCAAGTAAATTCAAGAAGAATTTTATAATTTTTAATATCATATATCATAGTTTTATCTTGAATAAATTTAACTTTATGATATATAATATTTTTTTTATTTTTAATAACACTTATTTGATTTTGAATTCCATATAAAGATTTTCATCCTCCAAATCAATTTGAGATTATAGATTCCATTTTTGTATAAGTCAAAATCAAAACCTTTATATTTATATTTTTTATTAAATTATTGATCTATTTTTAGAATTGCTGGTTTAAGCTCATACCAATCAGGAATAAGCAATGTTACCATTAGATTCCCTAATAAACTATATAGATTGAGTTAGTGTTTTGTATAAAATATTTGCTTATAATTTCTTCTATAGAAGTATCTATATCTTAAATAAGTATAATACTATTATTTTCATTGCTTAAATCAAATGTGAAGCTATGTTTCCTTATGAATCAGATGGTACTATATATTAAACTTTTTTCTAGATTTTTCCAGAAGTATTAGTACATATTTTATACAAAAATATTACTTATAATTTAAATTTATGATATATAGGACTAGGAGATTATGTAGGATAATATTATAGGCAAGAATATTACTTTGACTAATAAATTTATATAATAATATTATATATTATTAAGATTCACTATAGAAATTTGTATATAAGACTACATTGAATCACTATAGAAGCCAATAATCAAACAATTATAGGTAGAAAACAGAAAAGTATTAACAATTACTCAACAATATACAGATACTTTATACAAATATTTGATGAATTACCATTATATAAATGCACAGGATTTGACATTAACTAGAATAAGCAACTTAATCTCAAATATACATTCATAGCTAACAAGCAAATTACAACAATAATTCCTGTTCAGTATAAAAAAAATATTAATACAGCTTCTTGTATAAGACATAAATACAATCTTTACAAATAGAGTTTATCCAACTCAATTACAATTACACTTGCAAAACAGAGGTATAGATCAAATCAAATCCTAATAGAAAATAGAAACTTTGATAACAAGAAAAAAGAATTCCTTCAAAAAAATAAGAATGATACTATATGCAACTTTTTTATTAATAATGGGTTAGTAAAAATAACAAAGTAAATCCAGAATAATATCAACTTTGAGCTTTATACAAATGGCTTCATGTTACCATATTGTAGTCAATATTTTATGGTATTTGAATAGATAATACGGACTAGAGTGAATCTAGAACTTCATTTTCATAGCTAGATAGAAAATTTTTCTTTATATATTTTAGTAGAACTAGTAGCTATAATAATAACAATAAGTATTCTCAAATCTTTAAGCAAGATTAAAATATATAAAGACAGTTAAGTAGCCATTGATAGTATTCAAAAAACAATAAAAATAGGTCTTATCTTTTAACTAAGAAAATAAATAAATTTAGAAATCTTGCAATAGATCTAGAAAATATCTTTAAGAAACTAACTCAAACTAGAACCTATAAAAGTAAAAACCCATATAGGAAACAAGTATAATAAGCAAGCAGGTAAACTAGTCAGTATAAACATTTAATATAGTATGGCATCAGGGAATAGAACCATTATATCCTGCACATGTGAAATCAACAATATATAATAATATTACAATAGGATTATAAAATAATGAAAATTCTAATTAAGACTATGGCAAAAGAACTAATTAAAGCAAAATACTTAATAAAGTAGAAACATTAAACAGAACAAAAAATAAATTTAGTAATAGAATTATTAAAAATATTCATTGTACTGCAACAATGGGACATTTGCAATTGATATAAAAGAGTATATATTAGATTAACTAGAGGAATAACCATAGAAAAAGTTCAATCTCAACCTTTGAAATAAAGAACTTTTCATAAAAAACAAATTATTTCAATAACTTCTCAATCAATATAAAAATAACAAATACATTTTTTGCAAAGCTAAAGAAACAAGCACATACCTATTTATATGTTAAAAATAATAAACAAAAACAGAAAAGCAGATCAATAATATAATCACTGAAAAGATAGAACAATATAGTGGAATAAAGGAAGCTGAGAAATAAATAAAAAACATACCAAAAACAACTCGACACATTTTTTAGAGTATCTCAAATGTTTTATAAAAAATCAGTTCTAAATGAAACAATTAATATGATGGCAAAGTATATATCAGTTAAACTAACAAGAAAACAATGCATAAAAAATCAAACACAAAACAGGTAAATATTTTATAATATTTAAAAGGAAAGATGTGAAAATTTTAAAAAATGGAAGGAAACACAAAGTATTACAAGGAAATAGAAAGAATAACCAAGTATAGCATGCCACCCAAGAATTACTGACTCAAAAAAGTAGAAAATTACATAAAAAAATCAATACATTGACTTGGTAAATAATTACATAAATAGATACAGTACATCAAGAACATTACACAACCCTCCCACATATTTACATTTCCGTATAGCATTAGCCAAGTCTTGGCTATTTAGCTCACTATATAAGGTGGCAACAGGCTGTGAGATGATTCTTTTCTATCAAACTAGATTTGGTCAATATAGGTAGTCCTAGCATGAACATATATGTGCATCTCTAATTAATCCAAATAAAGTAAGGCTGAGCCAGCTTTCAAAAAATTGTACATGATTTAGCAGGGAGGGCACTGGATGAGGATTCATGCAAGGATGCCGCCCCGCAAAATTAAATATAGGGTTAACGACAGAGGAGATTCTATAAGAACACTGGCCGAAGTTAAATATCAAAATTTACAATCTGATGATTTGCTGCACGGCCTTTTTATTGCATTATACGCATTTTGTGGTTTAAAATATATAAACTAATTATATTTAGCAGTGATGGGAAGGAATTGCAAAATTTCATCAGGATTTTTTTCAACCGATTACTTTTAAACTAAAGTTTAGTGGTAATAAAATTAATGATTTTATATAATTCTTAAATCAATCGAGTTTTAAAAAACAAATAAAGTAAAATTTTACACAAAATCAAAGAATTGAATGTAAATGTCAATTTAAATCAGCACAGTAAGTTACTCCCTTAACCGTACACCATGTTCACATGTGCTATATTAAGACGCACATGGAAATGTCTATATCTCTCCGAATATCTTACTTCGGAAGCAAAAAATACACATGTATCAATAAATCAGCGTAATGTGTAACTGCATTCTGGTGTATATACAGTATATATATATAATATTTACTAGCACAAGTACACACATATAATTACCATGTCTACACAAGCTTTTACACCTTCAACCTCAATAAATGAAGAAATTTTTTCCCGAATAATAGCGGATGTTGTTAAGGACTCGAATTCAAAAGAGCTATCGAATATTCGGAGAGAAGAGATTTAAGACTGGATTAAAATGATAAAATTCTTTTGGAATTGCCTTTCTTGGGTTGACTGAAGGAAAATTTGTAGTATTGGATTATCATTAGAACTGGCAACGACACTTGAAAATTTATCGAGGGCCTTAGTTATAATTTACGAAGCAGTTCCTCATAAAACTCTTGATAAATTAAAGAGGTGCTATGTAAAAATAATATCGACAGGTAATATACTGTATAACGAACATCAAGAAATTCTCTCTTGTTAGGTGATTGTTCTCTTTATTCTGTGAGAATAAGAACTTAATTTTTTTCCGCAGTTCTTGAGGAAATTGATAACGACGACATGGAATATCATCATTGCATAAAGGATATAATCTTAAAGCTTTCGAACAAGGAGACAACGATAAGGCAACACGGTGTGAATTATATAATCAATCTTACATACGTTTATGACTTTTACCGCGGAAATCTAATAATAATACGTATTGAGAATCTTTTATATTTTTCGCCAGAAAGCTTCAACAATAATAAAAACGCCCTTTTAAGGGTCGTAATGTACGTTGCTCTCTTCGAAATACAGTATAATATCACGTGTAGTTAGACCATTTTATTAGTAGAAAATACCCTAGATTGTAATACGCATAAAATACTGCGGAGATTTTTATAAAAACAAATGAGTTTGAAAAAAGAATATGTAGTAACACAGTACGTACATATACGTAGTTTACGTAATTGTACGTGTGTATTTTTGCATAACAGATAATAAACCACATAACACAAAACACAAAAACAATACGTATTCGGTTTAATTATGAGGTAAAATACTGTATCTTAAATACACATATACAGTATGAATTCATTTTTATAAGAACTTTAATACGGGAACGCGTACCACCTACTGATCTATGCCAATCTGTCTTATGATTATTCCGTGTAACGAACGGTAACACCTCCCAAAATATTACGACAGAATCGGCATGTTATAGCTCACTTCTAGACACAAAGACTAGTTGAATTTTACATAGCTACATACTTATGAATAAATGCAACGTCTGTCAGAAACCGTGCAATAGCAGATGCGTAAGATGCAGTCGAGCATATTAATGTTCCAAAGAATGCCAAAAACAAGACTGGAAAGAACACAAGAAGTCATGTAAAGCCATTTTACCTAATTTCGAAAAAGAGTTTGCTATAAAATATCCGAACGAAAAAAAGCAAATTCAACTTCTTGAAAATATACAGAAGAACCTTCAACTTAATGAAGACTTCATAAATGAGATTAATCAAACCAATTCTCAGAACGCAATGCAAAGATGGCGTGGATGGTCGGATGAACTTTTAAATTTTCTCTCTTCTCCCAGACAAATTGGTGATATTTTTGCCAGAACAACAAATTTACCGTATTTTGCGGATACGGGCGCATATGCTCTTAGCTTTAGTAACACTCCGAAGAACGGTAAGTTTAGACTTAGTCAAGGAAAAGTTCATGTTGCTGTAGGGTTTGTAGACTTGGACTTACTTTTACAAGCGACAATTCTGCAAAACAAGGATTTGGTAGAACAACCAGCCAAATTCATAGGTTATGAAGGATCCGTTTAGGCAGTAGCAAAGACCAATGTAATTGTAGAAATGATTATTGGAAGTGCACCAATTCGGTCAATCATAGAAGCTTGGTTTTCTGCTGTTTGGACAATGGAAACCTTAGAGCACTTTAAGAATGCTATCAACAACATCATGAAATTTGGAAGCGCACCAGTTGACAGACCACCTAACCCTACAAAAAGGGACTTCACCCAGAAGTTAGCTCTCTAATCTCTCATTGGAGTAAATTGGTCGGATCACCAAAATCCCGGAAAAATGCGCACAAACTTTGGGCAAGTGTGTTTGATAAAATGGACTCCGTATTTGCTATTATCTCAAATCTTGCTAAAGAACGAGATCGTGTGCAAGTTTCACGCTATCTTTTTACTGGCGAGTTGCCGCTCATGGATGATCAACAGTCAGAAAATCTAATTGCAAGTATTATGATGTTCAGCTGCAGTGACGGAATTTCACCTCACTCAACAAGTGAAATTATGCTTCACCTAATGCCAATGCAGTCCATCCTACCTAAATATCAATGTGAAAATACCGCTTTCTTAAATGCGATTTACAATTTTCTTGAAGAAGCAATCGCAAAAGTTCGCACCTGGTTATCACCTCCTGTAGGAAAAACCAAAAAGATAGAAATATATCTGCATTTTCAAAGTGTCAAAAATGACAATCCCGAGTTATTACCTTCCATTCTTCAACTAGATTCATCAACAATATCCTGGAGCAACATTTGCGATTATCTTTGTGCACATGATTTTCATAAATTGCTTCAGGCTTGTTCAGGAAACGATACAATTCACATGATATCATCAATGAATTGGACAACAGAGGTCTTTGGCGGAAGTATTATGGACTATGATAATACAAATCGTCACAAGATTTTGACTGATGCTCGAAAAATGATTCAGACATCTGGACAGGCTATCGACCCATCTGGGTATTTCCGGTATGCTCAGATTTTTAAGCATCCACATAATACGCTAACGTACTTTTGGCAAGGAATGTAAAAGAGTATTGGTTGGATTATTTTTTCAGAGGCCAATATGTAGATATTATCGATGCTTCATTCTTGCCATACGCTCATACGCATCAAATACATGAACTATTAAATATTTCTTTCAAATATAACAAGATTTTATAAAAATATTTATTGAAAATATTTAGCGCATATTTTTTCTTTTTGATGTTTTGAATTAAATAAGATCGATATTATTTATCTGAAAATTTATAGATCCTGTTCAATTATTTAAGTGGACTGATGGACTTCGTGCTTTAGCTAATACTTTTGCATTGAACATTTACGCCATTTCTTATTTAAACAATTAAACCTTTAATTTTGTATAAGCGTATGCGTTGTGAAATTTTTTGACCAATCTTTATTTTTACAGGAAAATGAAAAATAAAATGAATGAAAAAATGATAAAAAGAAATTATAAAGTTTGTTCCTATAGTTTTAGTCTCTTGCTGCAACCTGCGATGTTATCAATAACCATCCTTGTCCTACCCTTCATATCTGCATCTTTATATACAACGGCCACCATTTTGACAATATAAAATTAGGTTTTTAATTTCATCCAACAAACCATTTTTCGGAATCTGTTATGATACCGAAAACCTTTCGTTTATTGCTTGACAAATATGATTCACATTGCACTGTATTTTGTGCAATACCCTGTATAAAATTTCTGGTCATGACTTCAATAACTTCCACGACTATTCTTTTAATCCGGGTTTAAAAAAAAAAAGCAAAATCCACAGTTCTAGGACCATTGGGACCCGAGAGGTTCTTTTCGGGTCGAACTTCGAACTTATTCGCAAAAGCCGGCATGAAGTGCCGAAGTTATACTCGCATCATATTCAGACGACCATTCGAGACTCGTAATACGTACCGGACACACTTTGGCTTTTAGTTAGTAAGTGCTCAAAGGTAGCAAGTCCAAAAATCGATCATTCGAGATCGCAATTTGGACCTCCATGGGGAGAATCTACGACTCATTACACGATATTTTTTTTTTCGATGCGCTTAATACTCGGATACATACACAATTAAAAAAATACGTATAAGCTAGATGTGGATAAAGAAAACATTTTCGTCACTTTATTAATTATTTAATAATCGGAACTGTCATACCTTACAATACCACATATAAAAAATGTGCCAAACTTGCAGATTTTCTATGGTGCCCTTTTTTTCACTAATTTCGGAAATTCGAGTGATACCGAAAGATAATTCACGGTTAAGTCTTTTTAATAGGATATAGTACACTGCCTTGGTCACTTTCTTGGCTTTTTACCGGAGAATATTTTTAACGATGTCGATTTATCTGGAAACGAAGACTGTAATGTTCAATACTTAGAGTAGTCTTGTGTATGTACAGTACATTCCGATAAAATTAAAAATATAATATACCTACGTACAGTACTACTGCCAAGGATGTCCGTTAATAAATGTAGGTGATCATCCACATCGCAAAAAATATTTTTAACACAATTCTACTCAACAAGGTACGCTTACAGACAATTGCTGTAAGCAAATACTAGTGGCTATATATAAAAAAAGTTTATTGTGACTATATTGCATCATCATCGCGCTTATATTACATCCTCGTCGTATCTTCATTACATCTATATTATAAGGGAGTTACTGTAACTCGAATTAGCATTCGTTTATTAGTGAAATTTATAATCGACGAAAAAGAAATATTTACGTAATATGAATAACCAAAAGTTTTTTCGCCGTGCATCTCTCCAGTTCCACATTACCAAAATCTATTATTCCCATACCCGAATAAAGAGCTGAGCAAAAGTTTTAAAAAGACAGTATATTTATGTTGTTGTTCGCCGCTTTATTTCCTACACATAGTATTAGCTACTTTTCGTTTCTTTTTTTCCTATCTTGTAAACAATAAGCGACAAAATTTACAATTTTATAGTAACAGCCGAAGGAAATTTAAACGCCTCCACTGTCATCTATCAAACGTTGATTCACTGAGCAATTTCATCAGCGTTGAATCTATACGCCCTAGGTTCTACTCAACAACAAAAATAATAACGAGCTCTAAGAATAATTTGGCTCATTACCCGAATGATGAGTGTCGCAGATTTGGTTCGACCTGAATATCAAGTTTATCAGCTTTAGTCAGTCCTATTTAGCCCGTGTACGAGATTTAATTCTGGGAACATGAGGAGGGTGATTATACTGCATTAATATGTTCTGTTTATACAGCATGTGGTGGAAGCGGACCATACATAAGTTAGTGTCAGAGTGTGGGCCCCACGAGTGCATTGGCTTTGCCTGCGACATACCGACAGCGTGCGCGTTAACTAAAATGGTATGTACAGAATATAGGGTTAGATATAGCCTTTTTTGTTTACGCAGTAATTACTTCTTATTTAAACTTTATCAGACTCATCCATACACCCCGTGTATTGGTATGAGGTGGTATATGAAGGGGTCTGTGGCTTATTCACCATAGGAGCACTAAAAGTAAGCAAAGAAAAACCCATCACTTTGGAGCAAAACGACGCTAATTTTAAAAAGTTGAAGTTAAAAATGACAGGACAGACGTGCTATATAAATATCAAAATACAAGAATGATACAAGATACTAGTCATCAACATCTCAAAATTAACTACTTGGAAACACAGGGCATCAAATTATAGAACCAGGACTTCGCAATAGTTTAATCTGATGGTTGAATAATCTCAATGCAATCTTCAATACTGTCGAAATAAAATTACTTCCTAGGTCCTAAAAACACTTGACAGACTAATTGAACCAGATTGCACAGTTCTCACAGACTTATAGAATATTTATAAACTGCTTAAAACCGAAAACTATATTATATATACACGATAAAGGTTTCAATCCCAGCAAGAACACCTCAATTGGAGGCATAGACACCATCTTCAATTTTGAATCAAGCTCACCAATAAAACTAATTATGCAAACAAGTGACCAAATCATTGCAGACAGAGCAGAGCTCCTGGCAATCATCACAGCTATTTTGAAATGAAAAATGAGTCTTTATAGAAACTGACTCCAACTTCGTGATAAAGAAATGTAGCAAGAAAACGCACAAAGGACTCAACTAGGTCAACAAACCACAACTTATCAACATCCCAACATGCACTTACTGCCCAAACCCACACTGAAATCAAATAAATCAAAATAGTCAAGACCCACCAAATGAATATCAATTTATATAAAAAAGCAGACCAATTAGCTAGAGTAGCCAACACTACACAGCTTTCACATTCAAAGATAAAACATCTAAATACAGTATATAAATTTGAAGCTTATAAAGAGAAGGTATACTTTAACAAATACTATAATAAAAAAATAGATTTTTAGTTAAAAAAAACCTTAAATTATTATTAATAAAATAAAAAAATTTTTAATTTATATAAAATTATTATAGAATTTAAGTAGTAAAATATAATCTTAAATAATTTAATTAGGCAATTAATTAATAAAGTTAATAAATAATAACCTATCAGTGAATACAAAAAAATATAGAAAAATAAAACTATTAAATTTTAAATTAAAAGTTAATATATAAAATCAATATAGAAAAGTATAAAAAATTGACTTATATAAAATATATACATTAATAGTTTGAACAAAAAGCTTTTTTATCCAATTAATTAACAATGGGTTATAAACTTCTAAATAAATTGACTATAAAAAAAACTTATTTATAGTGCTATCATAATTAAATTACTCTTACTAAATTGTAAAACTCAAATTAAAAATTTTTTTATTTTAAAGTTTAAGATAAGTACTAATAATTAATAAATAATATAATTATCATTCAATTCTATTAGAAATAAAATGTAATGCTTATACTTTAACTAATTTTTCAGCTAATAAATCAGAAAATTCACTCATTTATTTATTATTTTTTGTTTTAGAACTATAATTGTTCTAAATTTTTTATTATATTTTAATTTTTAGGAGTTCACATATTTTTTTTATTAAATTTAGATATGGGAAATATAATGACCATGAAAGTACCTTAATATAGTTAAATTTTTCTATTTTTTTGCTTTTTTTAAATAATGTTTCAGATATTTTTTTTAGGAAATACCAATTTATATTATTATTATCAAAAAATACTTATATAAAGATTAGAAGACTTTTTCTATAGATTTTGTATAAAAATTAATATTAAAATTATGAGTAAAGAGAATTAACTTACTAAATCATAAAGTTAAAAAAAGTTTAGATATAAATTTTTTGTGATGCTTTACAGTTTGAAATATTTTTTGTCTTCTAATATATCGCCATGTTTTTTTTATTAAGCTGGTGAAGTCATGCTATTTATTTTTTATTTAATTATTAATATTCTCTTATGTACACAAATTGAATTGAAAGAAAATACATTTATGATAGGAAAAAAACTAATTACTCAGTATCTTACGAACCCTACAACTTGCTGCTGTTCATATTTGGATGAATGTTAGCATGTTATAACTTTACTAACACTGATATTTGTAAATAAGAGAGAGTTAATATTGAAACTGTTCTGTAGTATGTTTTTCATATTAAAATTTGTTAGTTCTATGAATAAATATTTCTTATTATCCGTCGTTCCTTTGTTCTGAGATGTTTTTCTGTTTTGTGGTTTTGTGTTGACCCTTTTCTGTTCTCACTTCATTTTCTTGAAAATGCCTTGCATTTTTTCTCATTCTAATATCAGATTGCATCTTAGCTTCCAGATGCTTCTTTTTTCTTGTTACAATTATACATTGCTTCCTTTACTGCAACTTTAGCTTCTATTTCATTTCCTGTAATTTCCTCTGCTATCTGGATCATCTAATATATGACTATCCCTCTAATGATATTTATCAATTCTACTGTTCTGTGTTTTCCCTTTCTTATGTCTAGTTTGAAGAGATCTTTCTATTTACTTTGGATGGACTGTGACTATTTGTTTCTATTGACTCACATTGCATATTCTTGTATCAGGAGTTTTGTTAGTTTTTTTAATATTCTTATTTTATT